TAGAACATGTATGATGTCATATATTACCAAATATGATGTCATAGAACACTTCAATGATTTATTATTCTGTCTTTCTCATTGGACTCTATCCAAGCAAGAATTGTCATTTCTCACATTCTAGTACACCAAGCTGATTGGAAGAGAGTCAGTCACTTGTAATGGAATAACTCACAATATACCCCCTCAGTTTATGTAAATCACACCAACATTCCACTCTAATGGTGTCTGCATGTAGGAAAAAAACCCACCAATACAAACTGTGCTGGCTGCCGAAAATGCAAAAGATGAAAAGTCCTAGTACAGAAAGGTTTGGATTACTATGACAACAAATAAACATCAAATAGGATAAGTTTTTTATTGCATAGAACTACTTTCTTGGGACTGTTGTGCCAGGCTGTTGCTCACCGGAATGCAATGCTTCTGTTGAGACATAGACATTCAAGTCACCACATGATTTTGTCAAGTAAACTTCAAAATTTAAGATTACAAAACAGTTATTAACTGTAAGTGTCAGGGTATATGAAATTTGTCTTCCTGATGAGATAATTGCAGTTAATAATTGTATACAATCAATACAAATAAGAGAAAAGTAAATATTACCCAATCAGAGTGTAGCCTGCAGGGGCACGTTTAGCTTTAGCCAATAGCAAGAGATCACACACAGCAGCTTGCGTATATGATCGTGGTAACATTCGAACTGCCAGTTGATGTTTCTTTAAAACAGGTTCCTCTAAAAATAGAAAGATTTAATTTATTGTCAGATATACAAACACAAGTACATGTAAACCATTTATTGCATTTATCATAGTCACCCATATTACATGTGTTACTAGAAGAGGATTACATTCTATTTTCGGGGTGGAGATACATCACAGAACGTTCTATGTTGCTAAGATGCACACCACTGTACCATGTATTTCTATGGGCTCTGTGCAAGCTAATGGGGAATGTCGGTCGAAGAGCCGGTGAAATTAGCTAAAGTCAAGAAAACAACACAAACTCAAAGTACTTGAACTTGTAACACTGTTCAGGGAAGTCTTAACAATTATAAAGTACCGTTTTCAGAGAGTTTTCAGTCCTTGTTTCCATCGTGATGTTTTTTCAGATGGTGAAAATGTCCATCCCAAGAATAGAATATAAACTGAAGTTTGGACAGATGTATTTCTCTTTGACAGGTTTACTGTGTATAACCTTAGTAGTACACATACTAAGTGTTTGTGTATATTCCCTGCATACAATATCTCCTGATCAGTAGCCAGCTGGACTGGCCCAACTGTGATCAATTCTGCAGCATATCCATTGCTATTACTTATTCATGATATACAGTGACGTTAGGGAGCCCGGGGAGTGGAACACTTCTCAAAAAGGAAAGATTCTATGTGCCACGCATACGTTATAGTTGCGTAGAACAAATCAAACCAAAGGCTGTCTTTCTTATTGGTTGGCAGTTTATAAGTCATGCTACTCATTAGCATATTTATCACCTCAAAAACATGGTGACAAGTATAGAGGGCGTGGCAGAACAGACAAGTTGTGGTAATTTGGCAGAAGATTCTACAAACTCGTTCTGCAAGAATTATCATATAAAACAATAAAATTTCTATGACTGGGCCAGTCTAGTGACTAGCCTGCATACATCATACAATTACTTCATTTATTCTGTTAATATGACAGGAACAAACATGGAACAAAATGAAAACTGAGTCACACTGAATTACATGTACCACAAGGATTTTCCCTTTTCTCATACTTTTTGTAATTTGGTTTTTCTAAATACAGTTTTAAGTTTGTTTGTTTAAATATTTACATTCTTGTCATAATAATAATTTCTGTCCTGCATCAATTTAACTTTAACTCCCAAGCTGGCAATTACATGTAGGTAACTTTGCAATTTCATAGAAACTTATATTTTTAAAAATAAGTATCATTGTCATCATTAATTTTAACTTAGTGCTCTTACTGATTGTTACCAATACAGGACATATTTAGGCAGTTATGTTGCACAATTTAGATAACTGGTGGTTTTGATAGCAAACAAAATTACGCTTGATTTGTACTATAAATATTTTTTAAAAACAGAATTGATAAACTCTTTAACTGTTGATATATATTTTATGCTAACACCTGTAGTGGAATTACAAGCATACATGTACACAAGTCAATGTTAGGTATGTGAAGTGGTAAATTATTGAGATATTATTAAATTATACCACTTGTGAACAATTAACATTTTCACCACCAGACTTTTGCACCTTTTTCTTATTAATATTATTCAATAAATGAACAGACAAAATTTGATTCAATTTCAGTTTTTACTCTAACAAATTGGCCATTTATTCCAATCTTTTGAAGGAGCAGACAATAAAGAAAAATACCATTCCATTTTTATCCTTGTTATCCAAATATTAGACACACATGTTGCTTCAATAGTTCAATCAATTCCATCTCACACAAATAGTGTTCTCTAAATCTAATTTTAAAATAAATACAGGTTTGATATGATTAAATTATATCTGTACATGATTTCAATAAAGTAGATAGTATTGAAAAATGCCTACAAACATGGACAGAAAGCTGTTTTTTAATTTCTAAACATTTTTATAACAATTTGTAAATACCGATCATCAGCTTTAATTAAAATACTCAATCTGGTTCAAAAGCTTGATATTGTCTACAGCCATAATGTATGCACAAGCCTTCAAGTGACATAGTAACTGTGACCACCCACTTATTCAAAATGTAGGGCTTGCTGATTACATGATGTTTAACTCATTAATATTAATCAGAACTTGCAATGATGTCACCATATCGTTTCAGGGGTGATCAATTTAAATTTCATCAGCCATTTATATTCATGAAACGTTTATAACATCCACAGCTATATGTCCTTCACTGTAAATGCTGCTTTGCACCATCTTTAAACAAAGGCTACACGAGTAATTTCTAATCATCAGAAAATACACTATACTGATATTAAAACTTATTTTTAACTTATTTAATTTCCTTGAATAAATCTCCATATGCATATTATATTATATTATAATCCATATGATGCTCCATGTTGATACTATGGGGTAGTTCCCTGCAATGTACCAGTATACAATATATGTAAAAAAGCATTTGTTTGTTTACATGAAATTCAAACATGTACTGTACAATGACCAGCACTCATGTTATTGTTATGCTCATCATGTTATATAATAATCAGAGAAGAGACTTACTAGAGTCCAATGTTGTTGCTAAAGTAGACCATCCAACTGGAGGTGGATTTTCTTTACTAAGTATTGCCATGTCTGCTAACACATTATTTACTCTTCCCTACAAAATAACACACATTATACTGACATCAGAAAATAAAGTAAACTAATTTAATTTTGCAGCTGTCAATATTCTTGATACGGCAAATTGAGGATTTTGCTTTCTCCCCAGCTAGTGAAATATGTGATTGTTTGTCTTGATCACATGGAGATACATGTAAATTGGATTACAGTATATTGGATTGGATTCTAGTCAAATGAATGATTTAATAGTATTTTATAGCAACCATATATATGCAAAAAATTTAACAGAGGGACATTCACTTACTTGGTCTAAAGGAAAGATTCTTGTTATACAACAATATCTGAGAGTTTTTTTACCAAAAAAGCCATCTCTCCATATGTCAGCATCTTGACCTTCAACCGTCCTATCAAGCTAAAGAAAAAAACACAATGCCTTTTTAGTAAGAAATCAAAAAAATATGTCATCCTATTCATAATTTGATTTCTTCTATCGTATTCTTCATTCCTATATAAAAACATTATGTATTTTTAAAATTGCATCAAAGTTATTATGACTAATGATACATGGTCCTACGCTTCTAAACACTGAATGGCTGGCTACTAATTGGAATTAAATTCAGCTGAATTGAATAGCAAAGTCGACAAGTGTCGGCCGATCCAAAAACTATTTTGTGTTGAATTTCGCCTCACAAGTGAAAATGATATTAGTCCATTAAATAACTGTGATTTTGATATAGTTTCATTTAAAGTCATGAATCAGTGGTAAATGTTCACAGAAAGTTCTAAAATTTGTATGAAATGCCAATAAAAAATTGGCTTTTCTAGTTGGCCAAAGTTGACAAGCTCTGGTGAAAACTGTGAGCAAAGTTACAAAAATTGATAGGCATTTGCATGTAAGTTAGTTGTTGTTGTCAAGTCAAAACACATAGTTGAAAGTTGGAAAAAAAGTCTTAAAGTTTATTTTACCATAGAATTAATGACTGGAAAGTTGTTGGCATTGCTTAGGAATATGGCTAACGTTTTTTTTTTTGGCTTTTTGTATTGAAATAGGCAATGCAAACTTACCCTGATACCATTCTCATCTTAGTAAACTGATTTCAAATAACAGAACATCAGATAAAATGTGTTAATGCTATTTGCTACAAATACATGTACATGTGTAAAGGCCTGCAGATGGCACATTCTAAAACTCAGTTATACCAGTATGAATGGAGGAGATTGTTACAATATAATTTTTTCCTTCACTCAGTAGAACTAGACTTTTCTTGATGATTTGTTTCTCTATCAAATATATGTTTTTTCTGTATTTTTTTCTGTACTATCACAATCACATTCCCTTGATTTTTATGAAAATTTCTAAATTTTAACGGTAGTTGAATTCAACCAGCCAATCACAGCATAGTGTGCATTGAAATCACACAGATAAATAACTTTAGGTCACAACACATGGACATCAATGAAATTGGAAAATGATCTAAAGTTATTCCATTGGCTAATACAGTGAAGGGCATAAAGCTGTACCTGTATTTATAAAACAAATTGGAAATACCGATTATCAGCTCTCATTCAAATTCAAACATTTGTAGGCCGATAGTTGTCACACCTGCGCATACGCGAGATATGGGTCTGATATAAACAAAGATGGCGACTTTGACTGTTGCACAGATCAACGAGTACAAACTGAGACGTTATCAAGCTTTAATTTGGTATTTTTTTTTGGTGATTGGGAGGTATTGAAGGAGTCGTCAGCGGTAATTAGTGCAAGTGGAGTCCAGGACAAAACTCATACTCATGATTTAATTAGAAAAACGTATTGGATTATGGGAAAATCAATGTTTATCAACACAAATGTTACACATGCTCGGTGCGACAACTATCGCCCTTCAATAGTGATTGACTAAAGAGTGAAACATTGTCTATGCCCATAATGCACACTTATGTTTTCCGTTGACATAGCAGCTGTGACTGCACACTTATTGAAAATGAGCCGCTTGCTGAGTGCAAAATGTTGTACTATCTCATCAATATTAATTTTAACTGATGATGATGTCCCAATACTATTTCTGGATTGGTCAATTTAAATTCTAATATCCATTTTGATTTATAAAAATATATATTTATGAGACATTTATAACAACCCCAGCTTTATGCTCTCACTGTAGAAACGTTGTTTCATTTGAATTGAAATTGATGAATACAAATCAAGTAAATGGTAAACTACTGTAAAATGACTAATATTCACTGGGTTTAAATTTCACTGATTTACCATTTCAGGCATATTCAGTGGGTTTTAAATTCACGGTTTCGTCATTTAGATAATGTGTTCTATGCTAAATTTTACATATTTACTGTGTTTTAATTTAGCGCATTTTTCCAGTCAGCAAATAAGCTAAATTAAAACCCAGTGAATAATTACCCCCTTTACAGTATACAAATTCTTCTTTTTTTTAAATACATGTACACCCATTTCCTCCATGTCAACCCAATGTTATTACTAAATTTGTTCTGATTTTTCAATAATCATTGTTCCTGGGTCAATGAATCCCCAAGTGTATACAGCATTGTGACAATTTCAGCATTGTTAAAATAACAATGTAGCAAAGGGTTGAATCAAACCCAAAATCAGTAACATGTAACGGATGATGTGATTGGCGGAACGGACACTCACCACTTGGTAACCTGGAGGACAACGTGACTTATCGGCCACTATACATAGTCCAGTGATTGGATAGTCTGCTGGCAACGCCGACTGTAAACTACTCATGTTCATAGACATTTTACAATACAGATCGGGTAGAGCTGGTTGCTGTTTCAACAAAAAACAGCGGAAATAGCAGATCGATGTTGTTTACAGTTGGTTTGTGTCTTTGTCAAGTTCGTGGAAAGAAAGAGGAATGTACTTGTCGAAGCTCTTAGTTCTTCCTGTTGACCATGGAAAATACTCTTAGAATCTGATGCTGTTGAAATAGTCAACGTGGAATAAGACACAGGAAAGCTTCTGCTGCACCAAATCAAAATGTGGCGACACAACTGATCCAAACGACATTGACAACAAAGTCAGTTAACTTCCGGGTTCACGGTTTTCCGAGAGTTCGCGCTAGTCTCGCGTGAACTCAAGAGCGAAGGATTTGCTGCTGTTGGTGGTTGTTCTTATTTTCGTAACAATATAATTTTAATAAATAAGAACGAAAATTCGTAGATATGGATAATGTATAAAATGTAATCAGCTATTTTATTCGTCGGTAATTGGTACAAAGCTCTTATTTTTTGTAATCCATAAAACATTTTCCACATTAAATGCCCAGTCGTAATTCGTACGCAATTTCCAATTTTGATTCTTAAACACAAATTATCAAATATATTATAAAAATGTAAAATATAATTAGAAATTAGCTTTATCTGTAAAGGGGAAAAACCTATATTTTACTGTAAATAGAACTTTCATTGTATTTTCTGTAAAAACGTAAAATGACTTTATAATTTCCTATACCAGCTATCCCTCCTTCGTTGCCCGTCCAATGACATGCCTGACTCTCACCGAGAACTATAAATCCGTGAAAAACAATATTCAAGACAAGAAAAGGAGTATTAGTAGAAATTCATTGGAGTTTGATCAATGCATTACAGACTATTTTGCTTTTTTACTGAGTCATTGAAGACATACGTAATAAAATACCACTACGATAACTACGATAATATACAAACTACTAATTCAAAAACATGATACACTGAACCCAATAATTATTTAAAAAGTGGATATTTTGCAATCATGGAAAACATGACCTGTTCAATTAAATGACATTTTTGCATTTTGTTTAAAAACTCGCGGTAGTAAAACTATATTTCTTATTGAATTTGGAA